TTGTTTAAAAAAAAAAAAAAAAAAATCATACAATCCCAAAACACATTGGGATACTTAATCTCTTTTCTTGATTAGCAAGCAAGAGATTATAGAATAAACATACAAGCATAATATATGAACATAAGTCTGCAAATAAAAGTCTGCCAGAGGATGTGGTGAAAGCTAGGACTTTAACAGGGTTCCAAAAGAGCTAGATAAATTCATGGAAGTTAGGTCCATCAATGGCTATTAGCCAGGATGGGTAGGAATGGTGTCCCTAGCCTCTGTTTTTTTGGAGATGGGTGCCTAGGGAGAGATCACGTGAGGATTACCTGTTGTGTTTCCTCCCTCTAGGGCAGTGGTCCCCACCCTCCCAGGGCTGCCAAGCGCCCAGGGGCGGGGCCACTCACGTGCCAGGCGTCCGGGGACGGGGCCGCTCACACGCATCGGTTCCGGGGGTGGGGCCAGGCACATGCCGTGCACCCAGGGGTGGGGCCACCCACACGCCCTGAGCCCAGGGCCAGCACCATGCATGTGCTGCGCGCTGGGGGCAGGGCCAGCCCAGCTATTTCGGCGGGCACACATAAATGCCCTGGTGGGCGCCGTGGTGCCCACGGGCACCACGTTGGGGACCACTGGATTATACTATAACGGCACGCACCCGAGGCCGGCACCATGCATGTGCCGTGCGCCGGGGCAGCCCAGATGTTTCGGCAGGCGCACATAAATGCCCCAGTGGGCGCCATGGCGCCCGCGGGCACCGCGTTGGGGATCACTGAAGTAGAGAAATATTTGGCAAACATCTCAGAGACATTAAGCAACTTTCCCAACATTGCACAGTTGGGTAGTGGCAGCAGTCTAGCCATCTTTTAAACTATTGCATATTTGAATCAGGAAGGACAAGCCTTTAGAATACTTCAAACATTAGCTATTTTTCCTAGGTTACTGATAATTATATTTATAATCAGGACCAAAAATCTTCATTTTGCCCTCCTCCTAGTAATGTAAAAAGTTATAACTCTTAGAAACCATGCATAAACTATGCTTACATTTGAGCATATACAGATACCATGGCAAGATCTAGGAGTCAAACCATCTCAAGAGAATCCATACATACTTTAAATGTCTGCTTATGGGTTAATATTTCATCTCCACACAATTATCTGGCAACAGAAATGAGGGCCAGCTGCAAAAATGTTCAGAGTAAAGAATGGTTCTTATTATTCAAAAATCATTAAATGTAAGTTTAAAAATACATGAGGGAGGGCAATTCTAAAGATAATTCTGTTTCACCTTGTATTTACTATCTACTGACACTGCTTTTCCATCCATTTTTGCAGGCTGGCAGTGTTTACAGTTCTTAAAACAAACAGCACATTAACTACTTAAAGAAACTTAGCATTTAAATCTGAATGTACAATTCCTACATTTCATCATGTAATTTCAGTTCTGCTGCCATCTAGCAGCATGACATC